GGGGTTGTTAGCAATGTTAGCAATGTAATGTCAGGATTCCAGCGATCGCCCTAATTAAATCGTGAGCCTTGAGCCAAGCTTCAAAAAACTTCCAAGAATTCAATAGGAGCAACATACTGGCGTGACCTGCGTAAAGCCGACTCTGGCATACGTAACTACGCTGCTTCTCCTCTTCCCCCTGGGTGTGCCATAAATCAGTTTCTCCAATTAAGCACATCCACACGGGCTAGGTGTCATCCATCACATTCTCCAACTAAAGTTTTAAGTTCATTTGCCATATGCTTCTTTAGTCTCCCCCCCACAAACACACATTTTTTTTTCTTTTGGCAACTTGGAAACAAGTGTAGGAATGTTTTTACAAGTCGATGTGTAAATTTTCGGGTCAGTTGCGACTTGTCATTCGAGGACGATCTGAAGTGCCCTAAATCTGGATTTGGGCATTTGGATTTTCTACCCCCAGATTAAACTAGACAGGCCTGTTCATATTTTGCTTACCGGATTTATTCTGCATTCGCTAGGCATACAATCCCTCCTCCCACTCCGTGAGGACTAAGGAACGGATGTTTCCTTTTCCCCGTTTTTTATTTATTTATTTTAACCCTCCCCCTTTTTGAAGCGAAAGCCTTTTTCGGCACCTCCCCTCAAATGTAAAAAAAAAAAAAAAAAACCACATCAGCGGGGAAATGGCAGAAGAGCTACAGGAACAAAAGCAGAATTGGATCGCCAAGTCACTGTTCGGCATGCCAAAAATGTTTAAATCTGAAACCTCCCCCCTGGCTTCTCAAAAGAGAAAGGTAATCATAAAAAATAATAATAGTAATAAATACTTGGCCTTTGTATAGCACTTTTGAGCAATTGAAGCCCTTCACATATATTTATCTTGAAATTGAAACAGAGTGTAATCCTCAGAGTGAACATATGGCAATGCTTCTCAACCTAGGTGGCTTTAAGAAGTGTGGATTCAACTCCCAGAATCCCCCAGCCATTAAAGTTGCAATCCTAAGTTGCATTAACAGAGGGATACAATTGAGATCAAATGAGGTACTAATACCACTCTATAAAGCCTTAGTAAGACTGCACCTAGAGTACTGCATCCAGTTTTGGTCACCACATTATAAAAAAGATGTTGAGACTCTAGAAAAAGTGCAGAGAAGAGCAACCAGGATGATTAGGGGACTGGAGACTAAAACATATGAAGAACGGTTACAGGAACTGCGCATGGCTAGTCTAGTGAAGAGAAGGACCAGGGGAGACATGATAGCGGTCTTCCAATATTTGAGGGGCTGCCACAGAGAGGAAGGGGGTCAAGCTATTTTCTAAAGCACCCGAAGGCCAGACAAGGAATAATGGATGGAAACTGAACAAGGAGAGATTTAACCTGGAAATAAGGAGAAACTTTCTGACAGGGAGAGCAATCGACCAATGGAACAGAAGTTGCCCTCAGAAGTTGTGGGAGCTTCATCCCTGGAGGTTTTCAAGAAGAGATCGGACTCCCATCTGTCAGAAATGGTGTAGGGTCTCCTGTTTGGCCGGAGGGTTGGACTAGATGACCTGCAAGGTCCCTTCCGACTCTGATTATGTGTTATCTGTTAAAGCTGGCTGGGGAATTCTGGGAGTTAAAAGTCCACACGTCTTAAAAGCCACCAAGGTTGAGAAAGACCACCATATATGGTAAATCAGTACTACTATGCCCATAATACAGAGGGGTGGGCTGCAGCCAAGAGAAGACCACTTGAAGGGAACCAAAATGACCCAACAGTGATGTTCTACTTTCTAGCTGGTACATGACAAGCGCATCAAAAGACAAAAGCCGGGCAGTGCTCTTTGGATCTAAATCCCAAAAGGTTTCTCTTAAGTGCAAACAGCCCCCCCCCCCCCCCCATCTGCCATTCCCCTAAAGGCAGCTGGTACTGGGCACTGTGGTCTTCTGCAGCTGCAGAAAAAGCAATGGTTTGCTTTAAATCCGAGGTCTCCAAACATGGCCACTTTTAAGACTGGTGGACTTCAACTCCCAGAATTCCTCAGTCGGCCAGGCTGAAATTCTGGGAGTCGAAGTCCCCAAGTCTTAAAAAGATGCCCAAGTTAGGAGATCCCTGCTCTTAAGGGGGTTAAGCAGGTCCCTCCGCTGCTCCGAAGTCCTTTTGAGGGTTCAAATCTGCAGCACTGCGCCAATCTAAAACTTAAAAAGATCTTCTCCCTCAGCTTCGAGGTGGAGAAACCATCCGGCCCAGAATAACATGTCTTCCGAACAAGGCCTTCCTCGCCTTCAGCTCACCCTCCCGATTTTGGTTTCGGATAATTCAAATTGCTCACGCCGTAGCGAGTCACGTCCTGAGAGAAGCTGTCATCCCGCCCAAACGTGGTCATCGTAGGCCGAGTTGCCCTACTCCCCAAACTGATCGACTGGGCTTGGGGGGGTTTGAAGGATTTGCCAGAAGGATCGTCCGCCGAAATGAATTCCGGCGGACATTTTTTTTTTTTTTTTTTGGCAACTTCACTGGGCCAACCTTGCACTGGAGTGAGATTACTGTCGATCCCATCCATCACTGGTCATCTGGAGTTGTTGACAGGGCCCTGAACCCAAACCCAGGAGTGATCATTTTCTTCCCTGCCGCCGCCCTCCCAGATGAGCCATGGATGCTGTTCAGATGAGACGTTCGAGGAGCTCCCCTCTCCCAGGAAATATCCAAGGAGGGGGCACCGCTATCCGACTCTCGCTCTCTCCCGCTCACTCCCCCGAGTGCGTCTTTTTGTGTGCGATCAGGTAGAGGCCTCGGGTGAAGCTTTTCCCGCAGTCCAAGCACTTGTAGGGCTTCTCACCCCGGTGCGTCCGCTCATGGGCTGTGAGGTTGGAGCTGCGGCGGAAGGCCTTCCCGCAGTCCGCGCAGCTGTAGGGCTTCTCCCCGGTGTGAGTCCGCTCGTGGACGATGAAATCCGAGCTCCACCGGAAGCTCTTGCCGCAGTCCAAGCACTTGTAGGGCTTCTCGCCCGTGTGAGTCCGCATGTGGGTGGTGAGGTTGGAGTTCCGGTTGAAGCTCTTCCCGCAGTCGGTGCACTGGAAAGGCTTCTCGCCCGTGTGGATCTTCTTGTGGCGGATGAAGTGGGAGCGGTGGTCAAAGCTCTTCCAGCAATCCTGGCACTTGTAGAGCCGCTCCTCGGTGTGGATCCGCCGGCGGAGCACGACGCAGCGCTTCTGCCGGGGGCTCTCTTGGATCCTCTCCTGGAAAAGGATCCCGCCGAGATCTTTGTAGCCCACTCTGCAGGGGATCGCTTCGGAGCCTCTCTTGGTTGGGAGGGAGCTCGAAGACCTTTCAGGCCTCATCAGCTCATTCTCCGAAATTTTGCCCAATCCGGACCGTGGCGAGAGGTTGTCCTGGGTTTTGGGGAGCGACGTCCTGCCGGTGGACTCTCGGTCCAGGTAATCTTGAGCCCAGAGAGGTGGCCGCTCCTGTTCATTCAGCAGCCTGCCCCCTGCTGGAAGAAGAGTAGAAGGACACGGTGAATGTGTGCATAAAGCTTACAGATAGATTTGACCTCTTCCAAAGTTCCATTGATTGCCCCCGCCCCCTCATATAACCTCATTGGGGACCTCAGCCATAGGCTCAGATTTACAACTCGTTTGCGGAGTCTCATAGTCACATGACTGCAATTTATAACATTTTTGTCAAAAACTGCTGCTTGCTTCCAGTTTGGGACAAAAACACCCGACAGTGAACAAAGGGTTCGTTGAACAACCATACAGTTTACCTCCTAACGACTGGCTTCACTTCATGACCATGGTGGTTCAACAACCACAAAATAGTTTGTAAAATCAGGTCGATGTTGATGACCCATTTTAGGATCATATAACTGTAACGGGCAGGCTCCCATTACAGTCAGGACCGCCTGTACTTTATCAGCAGCCTTCCCTAAGTCGATGCTGTTCAAATAAGATGTCTACCTTCCCCTCCACTCCGTTGCCCATGTTTGCTGAGGAGGATGGGAAATATAGGCCACCACATTGGGAAGGGCTTATACAAACTTACTTCCTAATCTTCAACCCACAAATAGGCCACGGCCTGGTAGTGTCCTATGGCCCAGGGGTTGGGGGACCTCTGTTCTAGTCCAATTGGCTGGTCAGGCAAGAAACCCTATACCAGGAGCCCCCAAATTTGGCAACTTTAAGACTTGTGGACTTCAACTCCCAGAATTCTCCAGCCAACTAGGTTAAAGTTGCCAAGTTTGGAGACCTCTCTATCCTATACCATTTCAGACAAATGGTCCAATCAATCTCTTCTTAAAAACTTCCAGTGTTGGAGCATTCACAACTTCTGAAAGGCAAGTTGCTCCATGGATTAATTGTTCTCACTGCCACGAAATTTCTCCTTAGTTTTTGTTGTAGTGACGAGGCAGTCAAGTTGTTTGATCATGAACAACTGAATCATGATGATCTTTATTGGAGTCTAGTCTTGCATTTATACACATTTTTAGTTATCCTCCATCATTGGTTAACTTTGGTTACTGCTTAACTTTCGTTACTCTTTAGCACAGTAATTAATACAATTAATTATCTCTAGTTAAAGTCTAACATATGTTTACTTCCTCTCTCTAATCTTCCTTTAGATTAGTGACTTTGTTTACCTGAGTTGTATTTGCTTGGAAACATTCTTTATATGAGGCTTGCCATCCGAGATTGGAACATTCCTGCAAGTACAACTGTACAAGTTTTAAGTTGCTTCTCTCCTTGATTAGTTTCCACCTTGCACGTGTGCTAATTTTAATTTACCGTCACAGATTTTTTTTTAAAAAAAAATCATTTTTATTTTATTTAATTGCATCTGTACTTTTAAACTTGAGCTAAAATAGCCCGGATACTTTTGAATGGTTTAAGCCATTAAAAAAAGAAAAAAGGATAAAATAAACAAACGAATTTATGAATGAATGTATTGATTTATGAAACTTCTGGCAGCCCTGCCAAAGGAAGGCAAGGCAGTGGAAATGTACAAAGCTGGCCTCAGAGAGATGCTTCTGAGTGCCGACAATTAACAAAGGTAAGTAATAGAAATGCCAAATTAAAAAAAAAATCATAAAATGGCCGCCCACCAAACTTTGTCAAGAGGCAAAGAACTTGGGTGTCTGTTCTCATTTCCTGGGCTGGAGAAGACGGTGTTTCCAGTATTTGAAAAAAAGTTAAGATTCTATCCTTTCCGTGAATCATCCTTTAATTAAATTTCTGCCACTCCCCCAGGCTTTCTCAATAAAGCACTTTAGTTTCCACCTCATCTGTGTCTTCATTACCTCTGAGTCCGAGATCTGCATGTTTACTCTGGCAAAACAGCAGGTTTCTAACCTACGCCAAAAGCCAGAATCACGTAAACCAAGCAGTCCTTGGTACTCTCTGAGCTTGCCTTTTTTTTTTTTTTTTAAATAAATAAATTTTATTGATTTTACAATTAAAACAAACCAACAACATATACACAAATGAAAGAAAGGAAAAGAAACAAAAGGAGAAGAAAATAGAAAGAAAAAATAGAAAACAATTAAAAACATTCTCATCTTCAACAGTTTGTAGGTGTGTATATATGGCATAAATTAAGGGTTAAAAAAAAAAAGAGAGAGCTTGCCTTTTTTTCTTGCAAAGGTTTCATTACCCCAAAAAAGAATTACACTGCCATACATCAAGAATATCTCAGAAACCACCAACAGATTCCTACAACCACAAGGAATCAGCGTAGCACCCAAGCCCAATTAAAGCCCTTCAAAACATCCTAAGCGGATCAAAAGACGCAACAACCCCAGAAGAAAGTCATCTATGACAGGAGTCACCAACCTTTTGGACCTCAGGGACCAACAAACTCATACTTTTAAATCCCGCGGACCAGAGACCCTGGGAAAATCCCCCCAAAAAGTCTGCACAAAAATTCCTCACTCCGTTTTCCTACCGATCAATCATTCTTTATTTTGGATCGCAGGATACGGTCTCCAGCTCGATTCTCAGGGGGGAAGAGAGAGAGAGAGAGACTTTTGGCTTCATGCAAGGAAAGCAGCAGATGCAGCAGAAGTCTTTCTTTCTCTCCGCCAGAAATGAGTCTTTGTGAGACTTGTCGCGCCGGCACAGCCTCTTGGAGCAGGAGGCCTTGCAGGGTCCCAAAGACTCATTTCTGGTGGAGTTTGGGGGAGAGAAAGAAAGACTTTTTCTGCTTTCCTTGTGTGCAGCCAAAAGCAGAAGAAAGAAGCGGAAAGAAGTAGCCCGGTGGCCAGGCCAGGCCAGGCGCTTGGGGCGAGTGGGTCAAGTTCCCCCCCTCCCCTCACTATTTCGTGTCGTTTGCAATGCAAGCGACACAAGCCTTGTGTTCCCACGCAGCCTGGATTAATTGCTTTGGGGGTGCTTTGGGAGTGACATTTCTCTGCGGACCACCAAAATTTTCTCACAGACCACCAGTGGTCCCCGCTCCACTGGTTGGCAACCACTGATCTATAACATACAATGTAAGGACAATGCAACAATCGTGTGCGTGCTTGCGTGCATGCCAACACACAGAAGGCAATGTGTGCGCCCCCTTATGCCCCCTGCACATGTGCGCGCAATTCCCACCCCGTCACCCCCTTACCTGCTCTACACCTCCCAGCTGATTTTTGGCCCGTTTGAGGCCTTTTTCGGCCTCCCAGAGCCTTTGCAGGCCGAAAAATAGGCCCATTTTTTGACTTCCGGTATTTCTGGTGGTTGATTTCTGCCCAAGACAATTAGTTGACCCAGGCAAGTCCTCAACAATTTGAGCCGATTTTGAATGTATTAATTATTGGAACTATAATGAAATTTTTTGAATAATGAACCAAGAATATGTGATGAATTTACAAATATGACAGATACAAGTACAAGGAGTATTGAATTAGAAATAAGAATTTTAAAAATTATATAAAGAAATTTGTATTAAAAAGATAAGAGAATAATTGAAGAAAAATAGAAAAGGTTAAGACATGAATAGAAATATATGGAATCAATGTGAAGGATATTAGAGAAAATTTATAGAATTCATAAATGTAATGATATGAAATAAATATGTAACTTTAAATATTGTAAAAAATCTGTATTAAAAAGAGAATATTTGAAGAAAAAAATGGAAAAATTAAGATATGAATAGAAAATACATGTAATGATACGATACGAAACTGAATATGAAAGGCAAAGATCATAAGGTCATGTTTGTATAGAAATGTAAAAATCTGGAACTAAGCTGTTCACTAAGAGACAATTTGTGAAATATAAAAAATAAAAAACTTTGGGGGGAAAAACAAAACAATTTGAGCCGACAATGTTCACTGCTGAAGCAGTGAATTAAAGTGAATTTTGCCCCATTTTACGACCTATCTTGCCAGAATTGTTAAGTGAATCAGTGCGGTTGTTAAATTAGACTGACCCCTTCCTCTCTGTGGCAGCCCCCTCAAACATTGGAAGACCGCTATCCTGTCTCCCCTGGTCCTTCTCTTCCCTAGACTAGCCAAGCCCACTTCCTGCAACCGTTCTTCATATGTTTTAGCCTCCAGTCCCCTAATCATCCTGGTTGCTCTTCTCTGCACTTTATTTCTAGAATCTCAACATCTTTTTTTATAGTGTGGTGACCAAAACTGGATGCAGTACTGTAGGTGTGGTCTTACTAAAGCTTTATAGAGTGGCATTAGTACCTCACTTGATCTTTGTAAAAGCCTCCACTGATGGAATAGCCACTTTGGTTAGTTGATGTATTTGATTTTCATATCACCTTTATTTTTATCCCTACTTCCTATTTTCCATAAAACAACAACCCTGTAAGGTGGATCAAGCTGTTCGATCAATAGATTAGGACACTGAGGGGAGGAAACCCACACCCTTTACAATACCTAGCTTTCGAGAGGCCCCCAAGCAGACTTGATGGATCCTTGGAAGATTCACCGTCATTTCCTCAAAGCAATCCTGACCCTGAAAGAACAAACAAAGGACCAGCCCATTAATTCAAAGGAACCGGTGATACTGAAACAAACAAAACAAAAAAATAGGACAATTGGACAATATAACATGACAATCCGGCTTTTATTAACGCTGGGAAAGTAAACTGAATTGCAGCAGGCAGCGCCACCTAGCCAAGCTAAGCTGAACTCGGAAAACTAAGAGAGTCAAACCAGGTTAGGGTTTGAATGGGAGACCACAAGGAAATCTCTAGATAGGAAATTTAGAGAGAGAGAAAAATCATCCAAAAGAAAAAAATGATGCCCCCCCCCCCCCAAATTCTAATACAGGTAGTCCTTGACTTACAACCATTAATTTAGTGACCTGTTGTGGCCTATCGGCCAGCGGCCCCTCCAGCACCTAAATCAAATGAGGCAGCGGCTGAGAGTCCAGGGTCAACCAGAGAGCTCCGAGGGGGAAGAGAGAATGGAGCTGGCAGAGAGAGAGAGAGAGAGAGAGTCAAGAGGCGGAGCCTGGGCTGTCCGTCAGCCCTCACATGGAGAGTCAACAGCTCCCAGGTCTGGAGGTGGCTGATGAGGAAGAAGAGGAACAGCTGGGTCCAGTGCCTGACAAGCAGCTGCGCAGAAGGCAGAGGAGAGGAGAGCAGTGGAAATCTATGGGCCGATACTTGGGACGGAAGAGTCACCTCTGCTAGCGAAGCCCCACCCTAGCTCTGGGGATAAAAGGCAGGGGGTAGAGATGAATAGATGGGGCAGACTGCCGGACTGATTTGTTAGCCTGCGGGGAAAGAGAAACTTTTTGCCAGGGTCGCTGGTGTGAATCATTGCTTCAACTACAGTGGGTTTGTCAGAACATGATCATTCAAAGTTACAACGGCCCTGAAATTGGTGCCTTATGATAGTTTTTCACACTTACAACCTATCATGCCCCTGTTGGGAGTCTGACTCCGAGGGAGAGATGGAACAGCTGACAGAGAGTGGGAGTTTGGCTCCAGTGGTTGTGGAGGAAACTGGGGAAGGGCACAGGACGGATGGGCATTCAGAGGAAGACCCAGGCCCATCCCCTCTTCATCCTAGGGCAAGCAAGGAGGAGCGGATAAGGGAGAAACATGAGTGGCATGGTCTACGGGGGAGGAAGGGGCCTTGATCCCCTTCATGGGCTGCAGTGGCGAGGACTGGTTAAAAGGACAAACTGCGCATGGCAAAGTTGCTGGAAGCAAAGCGAGCATTCTTGTCGGAGTTTATCTGTGTTTTGGCTTCCTCCCAACTGTGGTTGCTGCGTTATCTGGTAGAAGTGTGCAATTAATCATCCTTGCCTGCCGTAGTAATTCCTTCAGTGTGGTTTCTGTTGGTTTTTTTTATTTCAAATTAACTTTACTTTGGGTGCAGACTGCAATTACTCCCTCCGTAAACTGTTTTAAGAGTTTGATATCCTGCCGAGGATAATTGAACTTCAGGGCCAAGTTGGAGGCATGAAAGGGACTTGCTTCTATTTTTGTAACTTGGTTATTTTTGTGTCACGCCCCAGGTCATCACAAAACCTTTGCAGCGTCCCCATGGTCACGGGATCAAAATTCAACCGCTTGGCAACTGGCATGTATTTACGACAGTTGCAGTGTCCTGAGGTTACACGATCCGCTTTTGCGACCTTCTGACAAAGCCAAGTCAACGAGGAATCCAGATTTGCTTTACAGCCGTGTTGCTAACTTAACAGCAGCAGTGATTCACTTAACAACTCTGGCAAGAAAGGTCATAAAATGGGGCAACTGTCAACTCATAAAACATTCCTATACCTGTTTTAATAGTTGCCATAAAAAATAAAAGGAGGGGGGGACTTCCAGTTTGTTGGCTTCGCAAGCGGCAGGGATTCGCGATACTGAGCGATCCCTGCTGCGCTAGCCGTTTTTGGTGCTCCGATCCGGACGGGTTTGGAGCTAAGGCTGCCCTGCAGGGGTGGCTGAAGATAGGGGGGATCCGGGGAGGGGTTTGGGGGTGTTGCAGACCCCCTTCCCGGCCGGCAGAACCCCCTTTTCCCAAGACGGTGCAGCGGCGGTCTGCAATGGCCGCCACAAAGAAGCCGGCAGCTGGGTAAGAATGCGCAGGAGAAAGAGGAGAAAGCCTTTGAAAAGAGAAAGTTTTTCTTGGTTCCCAGGACTCTAAGACATATTTAACAAAATTCCTGGAAATTATGGCTTTTTGAAAGTACATTCCTACTCTTATCTTTAAAAGATTGCAACTTAAACTACCAGATGTTGAATATATTCAATTGGAGAATCTGATTTATGACACATCCAGGAGTGAGGGGAGAAACCGGGTCACAGGGGACTGTAAATTACGGATGCCAGAGTTGGCTTCATGCAGGGCAGGGCCAGTATGTCGCCTCTAATAAATCCTTTGAAATTTCCTGAAGTTTGGCTTGAGAATCATGATTTAATTAGGTCGATCCTGACAGCAACACTCACTTAAGCCACTGTCTCGCTATATTGTGGTCGAAAATGCCCTGGAAGCCACTGGGATTCAGAATGCGAGCGCAAAACGTAGTCACCAAACCGGTAGTAACACCGGTGGAATCCCACCCCTGCTGTATCCTGATCGGACCACGTGACTGGTTCGTATTGAGAAAGTGAAAAACTTCTACTTTAATTAGGTGAACATTTCAGGAACGTTTAAGAGTCGGTTTTCACCAGCCTGTGCCAACGTGGCATATCCAATAAAGCTATTCTTTGAGGAATCTACCTGCCTCAAGAGTTTTGCTTATTCTGGGAGTTGAAATCCACAAGACTTAAAAGTGGCCAAGGTTGGAGACCCCTGAGCTAGACAGTCAGTTCAGTGTAGTACCCTGAGCTACAAATGAAGAGATCCTGATTTCTAATCCTGTCTTAGGTATGAAGCCAGCTGAACGTCCTGGAGGAGAGGGGGGGGAAATTGTTCTCGGCCCTAGAAAAGAGGCAAAGAAAATTCACTTCCAAAAATCTACCCGAGAAAACTACAGGGAACGGTCTGTGCAGTCGCCAGGAGTGAAGACTTGACTAAAAGGCACAAAATATATATATAAAATGGCTAAGCATTTTTGATGGGCTTCTGGGGATTAATTGTCAGCTTTTCGCGGGGGTCACTGACAATGCCCTTGGCTCAAGGCACAGTTCAAGGTTCCTTAAACCAGGGGTCCCCAACCACC